TAGACTTAAACAACATAAATATAGTGTAAGGACAGGCCAGGAATCCAATGCTCTGTTTGTTCATTTGAGGGATAACAAGCATTGCATTGACTGGGATAATGCCTCCTCAATATTACCTTGTAATTCAATTGACAGTAGGAACATCATAGAATCTAGTCTCATTAAACATACCGAAGCATTCAACATGAATTTGAGTAATGGCATGTACAAACTGGACAATTTTGTAATTAAGAAGATTTGTAACCAGGTGAGAAGGTTGGGTCACCTTACCCTCTGACCTGACTACCGATCGTTGAGGTGCTATTTAAAGATCAGTAGGGTCATTACCTTATACCTGACCATTGTGAACCTGGTCTTACCCTCCTCTGTATATATACACCTTGTGCTATACTTCTCTTTATATATATATATATATATATATATATATATATATATATATATATATATATATATATATATATATATATATATATATATATACCGTATATCTCGGCCTATAAGGCGTCGGGGTGCATAAGACGGCCCCCCCAAATTTCCATTTAAAAAGTAGTTTTTGAGCTCTATTCGCTGTATAAGACCAGTACCCCAAATGTGACACTTACCCACTGACTCAGTAGTCCTCTACCAACCATCCTTGGTTTTTTAAAATAAGGCCAATTCACTTCAAGTAATGTCATCAAATGTTACCCGCTGGTGTAGTGTAAACACTAGTGACGTCACTGAAGCGTCTGCTATTTACCGGTAACTGGAACTAATGTCGGTGTCGAGTAAAATTTTTCCATTTACTTGAAATGGATTTACCGATTTATTTGTTTATTTATTTATTTCCAATTCACTTCAAGTAATGTCATCAAATGTTACCCGCTGGTGTAGTGTAAACACTAGTGACGTCACTGAAGCGTCTGCTATTTACCGGTAACTGGAACTAATGTCGGTGTCGAGTAAAATTTTTCCATTTAGTTGAAATGGATTTACCGATTTATTTGTTTATTTATTTATTTATAATATACTGTAACATATTAAACACACTGCAAGTATTTTCTTTAATTTATACGCTTGCCTCGCACGAGACGATCGGTGGTGGGAGTGTTACCTCGTCTTGGTGGTGGGACTGTGTTCCCACTGTTTATACAACAGCTACCACCGTATTCTAATTGTGGTGTTTCATTAGGATTTGAGTGAAAAAGGTTATGTATAATATATATATATACATATATATATATATATATATATATATATATATATATATATATATATATATATATATATATATATATATATATATATATATATACAGTTATTGTACCCCATAGCGGTCAATTGAACCCAGGGTCCGCGTTAAGTGAACAACAAGACATATGGATTAATTCAATAGAAACGGCCCGACCCCAAACTCCACTTTTTGAAGACACATACCTATGTTGTAGTAAAAATAACATCTTAATTTTATGATGGTACATGCACACAATTAATACTTAAGAGAAATAGAAATACAGTCGCCAAGTTAATGTCCATTCAAATAATGGACTCAACTCCCTCCCTCTCACACTACACAGCCGGCTAACAGATGGTCGGTCGGTCCCTCCCTCCCCACCCCCACCAACCGTCCCAAGGAGATGTGGGATAACCTCAAACTAAAGTTAGGAAAATATAATTGACATTGCTGGATTCCTTGTAAGACCAGGAATATTTTGAATATAAATGTCATATATTTTGACAAAAGATAACATAGTTACCTAGAGAAAAATTTTATCTAAAAATTGTAAGTTAAAACAAAATATATGATGTTTATATTCAAAATGATCACCAAATTATAAGAATTCCAGCAATGTAAATTATATTCTGACCGGAGTAATTTGTATGAATTTTATGAACTAAAACAAATATCTTCAGTTAATAAAAAAAAATAATCTTCAGACACTATCTGTCAATCAAGTACCCCACCCTCCCCTCTTCCAACCAGCGGTCAGTCCCAACCTCCCCACCCCCACCATCCTCCCTTCAGAGTTTTTACATTTAGTATTAAATAATACCTCAGATTAAAGTTAGGATAATATAATTGACATTGCTGGATTCCTTGTAAGACCAGAATATTTGAATATAAATGTCATATATTTTTGGACAAAAGATACCATAGTTACCTAGAGAAAAATTATTATCTAAAAATTGTAAGTTTAAAAGCAAAATATATGATGTTTATATTCAAAATGATCACCAAATTATAAAATTGCAATGTAAATTATATTCTGGCCTAGTAATTTGTATGAATTTTATGAGCTAAAACAGGCAGTCAGGCAGGGTGGCGGGTGGGGCAAATCAAAATAGCGTCTCGGACACTCACCGTATATGTGGAAAAACCCGTTAAGTGAAAGTTCAGCTTTGGCAAGGCACCGCATTATCTTGGCCGTTAAGTGAAAGCGTTAAGCGAGGTAAAACTGTATGTGTATATATATATATATATATATATATATATATATATATATATATATATATATATATATATATATATATATATATATATATATATATATATATATATATATATATATATATATATATATATATATATATATATATATATATATATATATATATATATATATATATATATATATATATATACAGTATTACCCGCCTATGATGCTGATTTTATATCTGTGATTGCTATATTTGCAGTTTCACGGCATATCTTGATCGGCGCTATTTTGATTGCCACCGCCACCTGTTCTTCATAAAAATTATTACCGACCAATATTTTACATTGCTGGAATTTATAATTTGATGATCATTTTGAATATAAACATCATATATTTTGCATTAGATACAAATTTTAGATAAAATGTTTTCTCTGAGTAAATATGTTATCTTTTATTATATGACATTTATATTCAGTCTTCTAAGGAATCAGCAATATCTAACAATCTGAGGTATTATTAATACAAAATGTTAAAATTATTTTTTCACCCACCCTTTCTCTTGAAGGGAGAAAGCTTTCGTGTAATTCACATCTTCAGGGGTGAGGACAGACTAAGGAAAAGTACAAAACAGAGGAGGGTGAGATCAGGTCCACAATGGTCAGGTATTAGGTAATGACCCTACTAATCTTTAAATAGCACCACAATGGTCGGTAGTCAGGTCAGAGGGTAAGGTGACCCAACCTTCTCACCTGGTTACAAATCTTCTTAATTACAAAATTGTCCAGTTTGTACATGCCATTACTCAAATTCATGTTGAATGCTTCGGTATGTTTAATGAGACTAGATTCTATGATGTTCCTACTATCAATTGAATTACAAGGTAATATTGAGGAGGCATTATCCCAGTCAATGCAATGCTTGTTTTCCCTCAAATGAACAAACAGAGCATTGGATTCCTGGCCTGTCCTAACACTAATTTATGTTGTTTAAGTCTAGTTACAAGATCTTTACCTGTCTGGCCTAAGTAAAACATATTACATTCCTTGCAAAGAACTTTATAAATGCAACCAATTGTGTTGTTGGGGGAGTTCTTGATTAACATTTGTTTAACAGTGCATGAGTTTTTAAATGCCACATTGACGTTCCAGGTTTTTAGTTGTAAAGGAATTTGAGAGAAATTTTTGTGAAATGGCAATATTATGATATTATTATGGTCATGGGTGGGCTTGGGATCAGTTCTATAAAAAGATTTCTTATTAATGTTCAGGCATTTGTCTATGAAAGATCTAGGGTATTTAAGGTTTGAGCCAATATTATAGATATATTTATATTTCTCATCAATGAATTCCGGGCTGCAAATTCTCAAAGCACGTAAAAACATTGTTGAAAATACTGACTGTTTAACTCTATTATGGTGGGCAGAATTATAATGAATGTATGAACACACATTAATAGGTTTTCTATAAATACTGAACTTAAAAGTGTTACCTATTCTGTGTGATGGAGGGTGCTGGAGGGGGTTTTGAGAATTGCGATTAACGAATTCCTTACGAGCACCCCTCAACATGTTTTCGCTTGCACACTAGCTGTCATATTAGTCCGCCAATACACTAATCGGTTCTAGGGCTTAAATTCCTTACTATTTTAGTAAATATCAATAAATTTGTACTATTCATTAATTCTAAAAGTCTTATATTAAAATTTTTAGTCATTTTAACAATTATTTAACATAATTTAAGTACAGGGAAACTAGTTTTTAGCGCGCCAAACGGCCTGTCAACACATCATACAGGCGCCAGTCTCTCTGTCTTTTCAGTGGAGGTAACATCTTGCTTCAGACTCTTCAACATAAATGCCTTTTTTCTGTGTTTCCAGCAAAAGTATTGGTCATTTTGAAATTTATTTTACATATTGACAATATATAATGCAGTGCAGTGTTGATTTAAAGAAAATAATCTTGAATTACACCAAGTGAACTAAAATTTTATGGGTGAAATGGCGGCATGGGGTGACTTCTCTTCCACCCCCAATGCCTTCACTTCTCCCTTCTCCTCCACCCCCATTCTAATTCCCATCATCATCATCATCATCATCCAGGAGCCTTCTACATACACACCTCAAAGTAAGTGTACTTTACTACCTTTTTTGTTGACTTTAGGCAATTTTTGGTGAGCTGGAACCAATTACCCAGAAACCCATTGAAACAATGGTTTCGGTTAACGAATTTTTCAGTTAACGAGCAACCTTCTAGAACAAATTGTGCTAGTTAACCGAGGACCACTGTATAAAGCTAGATGTCACATTCTGGATTGAACAAAAATTAACTTTAAAAAAAAAAAAATGGCGGGAAAATAGGCGGACGTTTTGGAACGTCACCCGGGGCCTAAGGGTTATGCTCAGAATTGTATTTTTTTAAATTAATTATGCAGTTTGTTTGTGTACATTCTTTTTGTTAGATTTATAATATTTTTAGATTTGGTCTTTAGTTATTTCTTTTCTATTAATTTGAAGATGTTTATTGATGTAATACAACTAAGGAAATATTTAATTTTGCTCATACTTACTGGTTTGAAAATATTTCAGGCGTATCAACTATTCGGGCATTTAAAAAGGAAAAAGATTTCATCCGCACATCCCACATGAAGATCGACTATTCTGTGCAAGCCTTTGTTACCAACCTTGCCTGTAACAGGTCAGTTTTTAGTGTTATACTTTAGTTTCTGTGATTTGCCTGTGATTATGATTAAGTATAATGTACCAAGTGTTATACTTCTGGTTGTCAATTTCATAATTTGTATTGTTCCTTATTTACCTAATGGCTACCCACTAGATGCAGCCTTGCCAAGGGAAGGAATCCAGTGGCCTGTGAAGGATCCCTCCATTGTTCTTGATAGTTTTGTCTAGGGCTGTTTTGAAGCCCAGTACACTGCCCCCCTTGCTTAACACAGGTTTAGTTAATGCAGATTCACTCAGACACCTTTCATTACTACCCGGTGTCACTTAACACAAGGCTAAAATTTGCTTTAACGCAGTCAGGTGGAAACTTTTTGCTCAGAACAGCGGTCGAATCCATTACAGTCTACCGGTAGTGTCTCCACACCACCCAAGGTACACCAAGTGGGTCAGTGTTTAGCTAGTGCTCATTTTAGTCACAACTCTGCTTGGATAAACTTAAGTTTTTTTGCTTGATTTCATCACCATGGCTCCACCCAAACGTCTCTGCCTAGAGACATTCCAGGAAAGAAGAGTAGGACCACGTATACTCTAGAAAGTAAGCTTGAAGTTTTTGAATTACTTGAGAGAGTGAAGATGATCCACCTAGGATGTCTCCACACAGTTGTTAAGGTTCAACCAACATCCTACACCACCATCACTCTTTATACCCTTCATACATTACTACTGTACAGTATATTTATTATTATAATTAAAATGATAATTCATCATGTTTAAGTTAGACATTCTTATGACTAGAGCATGGTTGGCATTGATTTAATCATTTGATTAAATCAATGATTTTTTTGCATAAATGATCATGATTTTATTTATATTTTTTAACTCGTAATTTCAAGTAGATAAACTTAACTTTCTTCATATTTCTTTTATTCAGTTACATGCCCACGCAATCCTACCTATAAAATATAAAAAAACACAATAAATAATCATCATTAGGTAAAAAACATTAAATTATTAAACATTGCTTCATGTGACAGCGGGAAGTCGACTGTTGCTTATGCAGCTGGGCTGGGTCACTGCAGTTGTAGGATCCACTATGGTGTAATTAAGAGGACCTTTCCTTGGAAGGATCTGAGTTTGTGAACCACTTTGGGCAACATTTTCACAGGTGGGAACAGATAGATTGAAATCCAAAAGATTCGATCATTCCAGAGATGCATAAGTTGGCATCTTGTGATTGTTTTGTGAGGCAAAGAGATCTATTTGTGGAGTCCCAAACTTTCTCACTAGAGTCTTGAACTTCGATATCTTTAGGGACCATTCTGTTTCCGTCAATACTGGCCTGAGACAGGACAACGCATCTGCCCAATTGTTTTGTACTCCCGTTATGTGAGTTGCTTTGAGGTAAAGTGTTTGTGTTACACAAACTTTGAAAAAAAATTCTGATAGATTTAGAAGGGGCCAAGATCTGGTTGAGCCTTGATGATTGAGACAAAACACCGCCGCTCTGTTGTCCATGGCAAACAGGATCGTCATGTTTTTAAAATTTGGGTTTGGCAACAAAAAGAATATGACTACTGCTAATTCTTTTACATTTATGTGTTTGTCCCAAAGGGAGTTGCTCAACTTCCCTTGACGGAACTCTCCTTTTGAGGAATCCTCATCCTACCTCAAACACTTCCGTACAAACAACCAAGTCTGTTTGAGGGGGAACCCAGGGAGATGAACCGATTAGATTGTCCAAATTTTTCCACCATGACAGATGATTCTTGATCTGAATAGGGAAAGAAGAAGCAATATTTCTGTTTCTGTGAAGCAACTTCGACCCCAGATGAGTTAGTTGCTTCTTCCTTAACTTGCCCAAAGGAACTACTATGGTGGCAAAATTCAACAGACCCAGCAGTTTTTCCCAATCATGCCAAGAAACCTCTTGCTTTACTTAGTTTATCACATCTGTTACTTTTGCTTCTGGTAGACTGACTGACTGTTGATTGGTAGCCCAATTGAGACCTAACCAATCCAATTTCTGACATGGTATGAGATTTGATTTGACCTGGTTTATCTTTAATCCTAGGTTTTGAAATAGTACTAGTGTACGTTGGGTCGCCCTTTGACATTCTTCGAAAGAGTTTCCCACTATCAGCCAATCGTCTAGATATGCAAAAGTTCTTGTGCCCTCCTTTGCAAGGATCTCTCTGGGGATGTTTGCCAGTTTTGTAAACACTTTTGGCACAATTATCAGGTCGAACGGCATTACTGCAAATTGATAACTTACATCCCCCACTGCAAACACTCGAAACTTTCTGTACCTGGGAGCAACAAGCACGTGATAATAGGCATCTCCGAGATCCACTTTTGAGATCCAAGCATTGGGCGAAAGTAGATGCCTCAGATGATCATAAGTGAGCATCTTGAATCTTGTTTTGGTAATGAACTTGTTCAGGACGGAAAGATCTAAAATCCACCTCAATTTGTCACTGCCTTCCTTGGATATCTGGGGATAGGCGAGACATGAAACACTTCTCTTATTGCAAAAGTTCTATCACACCTCTGTTGAACAGTTGAATTACAAATTCTGTGAGTAAGAGGGTTGGTTTCTGACCCCATTTTAGTAACATTAGGGGAGGGTGCCTCAACCAAGTCCATGTGAGGCCCCCTTTGATTGTCTTGTAAGCCCATATGGAAGAAGTCCACCCGTCTTCCCAACCCCCTAGACGACCCAGCTGTCTGGCTTCATTGGGAGGGAGTGGTCGCTGATGTGGTGGAATAAGGTCTCCTTCCACTTCTGAACAAACGGCCACCTTTACTACATCTTGAATTGTTTTCTCCTTAAGTTTCCTCTTGGTTGATAACTGAACCTAGCAGCTGGTCCTGTTCCCCTGTTAGACCTTCCTCTCTTAAATTTCCAAAAGGCCTTAGGACTCCTGGGAACAGTAATATTAATAGCTTGCTCAACAGCTAATCTATACTTAACTAATGTTTATTCCTCAAACAAAGCAGGAGAAAGAGGGGAAGAACATAGCAATAAATAAGCACTACCACTTGAAGCATTGTTAGTGGCTTGCTTCCTTAGTTGGGCTTTTAGTTTTAGGGCTTTCAACAACATTTCCAAAGATGAGTTGTACAGGAAATATGGAGTTTGGAGTTAAGCGTGGGTCGGGTCGTGTTGCGTTTCTGTAACAAAGCGTGTTCGGCATTCAGGCCTTCTTTGTTGAGCGACAGAAATTGGACAGTGATTACATAAGATCATCAAGATCGTCTTAGCGATGTGAAAGTGTAAATCGATGTAGGATTTTTAATGCTAGTCGCGATTATATTTTTGAAAACTTAAAACTCAATCTCCACTGAGTTGGAGGTACAGCCCAGGTCAATAGGCCTACAACCACAAAATCATTGCCATATGACAAAGCTTTTATTTTATTTTTTTTACGGAGTTATGGTCATGGCTATGATAAAGGCCAACCAGAGAGTGTAGTACTGTGCCTTAAGTTAAATCAGTTCATAGCGTTATCAGTGACTGTGGAAGAGGTTGTAAATAACTTAAAGTGAATACAAACTGGCAAGCAAGCTCAAAAGGCACCACTGCCAGCTGAAACCAATTCGTGTTATAGGTGCCACAGAGACTTTACATTTTATTTTGTGTGTGTGCTTTCTCATAGACTGAAACTGTGCCTACAATACACCATTCACAGGGAGATACAGTGTATACAGTGATAGTACAAAGAGATATAGTCATTGATGAGAACGGGAAAAGAAAGTACAGTGAACCCTCACTTTACGCGGTTAATTCAACCCACAGGGTACCGCGGAAAGTGAGAAACGCGTAAAGTGAACAACATAACATATGGGTTTAATTGAAATAGAGACCGGGCCGACCCCCAAACTCCACTTTTTCAGACACAATACCTACGTTGTAGTAAAAATAACTTCTTAATTTTTTGATTGTATGCACACACAATTAATAATTAAGAGAAATATCAATAATATTAGGTTTTTTAACACTTACATTAGTAGAAAAGATGGCTGGGCACACGGGGATGGGGGGTTGGTTCCGAGGCAGAGGGCAGATTATTGGCCCTCACCTGTATCACTTGTATCAATTGTATCACTATCCACCACAGAGGCTTGCAGGGCCTCTTTGTCAAACCCCTCAAAGTCCATATAAGTCCATATCCTCACTATAATTATCACTATCACTGACTTGGGCCGGCTGTGGTGGGTGGCGGGTGAAGAACTCGGTAATGTTTTGATAACTGGGTGACCTTGTGCGCACCCTGCTCGCGCCGCTTACACAACATGGCGGGAGAGAGGGCGGGAGAGAGGGCGGGAGGTTTGGATCCAAAAATGGCGCGGCTCGCCAGCCGCTCTCCGCGTAAAGGGGTACACGCACCGCGGAATGTGAGCATTCCGGTTTCCGCAGGGTACCGCGTAAACATGGAAACGCGGAATGTGGGACCGCGTAAAGCGAGGGTTGACTGTTCTGTATAAGGAAATACTCGTTAAAATAAAAAAAATAAATAAAATCAACAAGCTTGGCTATCCTTAAAGGCATTCTATTACCGCCCCAAAGAAAGTTTTATTTTATTTTTATGTGTTTGTAAATGACTGAGTGGGTGTATAAAATCTGTTATTCATAGCAAAATGCAGTGTACATAGAGATAGCACATAAATACCAACAAATGCCGAAGTGAAGTGAAAAAAAAGCAGAAGAAAAACAGAAGACAACTCTAAAGGCAACAGGGGAGGTTAAAGCCAGCAGAGAGCAGCTAAGTACTGTTTTTTTTTTTTCTCTTTATTTTTGAATAGGTGTAGATCTATAGCCTGCCCCCCTCACAATAACAACAACCATGAGTATGATAGGTGATTACTGCAGGGGAACATCGGATATGGAGGATACAGGCCTGACTAATGCAACATTTAGGATAATGCAAACTGCCGTAAAGCATGAAGGCTGTTGCTGGTATTGCCCTGACTGTGTAGTCAAGGTGAATGAAGCGATTGCAAGCCATAGGGGAACGA